ACACATGCATGCCCAGCACAGAAACACATACATTCTACATGCACAGTCATTCAAACACATACATACATATACATATATTTACACAAAACACATAGTACATATGCATGCAGACACACCTGACCCACACATGACCCACGCGTATATACGTGTACATAACTCATACACCCATATGGCAAACATGCACACACATGTACAAATATATACACAATGTATATATACACATAACACAAAGTACACACATGTACACACATAACCCACACACACATACACAAGATACACTTTCACACACATGCACATGACCCCCACCACACATACACAAGATACACATACATACACTTAAACAACACAAATGCACACATGAGTCACACACACATACCTCATGTGCACATACACATACATTCAGGTGGCACAATGTACTCACAGGCACATAGCACACATGTGCACATACAAATAAATATACTCACAATACTGACATGTACACAACTCATGACACATGCATGCCCAGCACAGAAACACATACATTCTACATGCACAGTCATTCACACAGGTACATACACAGATGCAGGTTAGGTCACTGCTCAGGTTTCTACAAAGGTCTCAAATGCCTTCCTCAGAATGGCCCAGAGTGTCTGGAGAGGCAGACCCCACCCACAGCATCTTGCTCTACCCTAGCCTGCTGACTGGTGTGGGCTCTCTGAGGTGATAAGATTAGGAACAGGGGGTATGAAGGATTGACCTGCATTCATTATGAGTATACAAACATAAGTGTCACTAAGGCTGGAGCCTCAGGGCAAGCAGAGGTCTTTTCTAGTTCACACCCTAGGAAGCACATGAAAACCTTTTGTGCTTAGTGAAAGGTAAGGGCAGGAATGGTACTTGTGGGACAAGCCTGTTTGCTGGGGTTGGGAAGGGCCATGCTGCTCCAGAGGTGTCAAAACCACAGAAGTCCCAGTGTCTCCTTGTCTTATATGGGGTCTGGGAACAGGGTGGAGATTGGGCTCCATTTCAATGTCATTACAGTCAAGGACCCCAGAACACCCAAGCAACCTAACAGCACCTCCATATTCCTGTGGGGTTCTTTCAGGGTGTTTTGGAATATTGCGGCTGCTAGAACTGAGTACCATACCAAGGGGCTTAAACAGCAGGAAGATATCCTCATGCCTCCTTGGCCAGAATTATGTGGAGTCAAATCTGCTTTGTGTTCACTTGAAGCTCACCTTTGTCTGGGGCCTGACAAAGGCCAGACAGACTTTAAAGAAGGATTTGTCACAGGTTTCATAGTGAGGGACAAGAGACAAAAGTCTAACATAGCCAATCATGACTTCATAGAAAGGGCCACTTGGAGATTAAAGTGTCTGAAATGCTCATCTTGTCAGCCTGCAATGTTGAGATGCAGGTCCCAGCATGGCCTCTAGCCAGGCTTAGAGGGTGGACTTGCTCTTCACGGCAGGAGACCCTGGATTGCTATGCAACCTATTTGGACCTCAATGGTCTCATCCATAAGATGAGAATGAACTTCTTTCTGCAGGTCTCTGTGAGATGAGAACATGCACACAGTGAGGGCTTAGTCCAGTGGAAATTATCTGAAGGACTTCAGACCTCAGATGAAGTTTTGGGGAAGCAAATGCTATAACTTTACCCTATATAGCCCCCAAGTACTAATTTTGATCTTTCTGGATGGTTTGATAATTGATCATTTTAAAAAATTCTTTTGGGTCTGGAAGAATCATGCAAACAGCAATGTGTTTGTCACACCAGTGTAAGTCCTGAGTTCAGAACCCCAGAACCCATGTCAAAAGCTGGGTGGAGCAGCAGATGTGTGTAATCTCAGCAAGGACAAAATGGGTGGTAGAGTCAGGCAGATCCCTGCAAAGTTGCAGACAACTTATCCTAGCTGACTTGGTGAGGTTCCAGCCCAGTGAGATACCCTGCTGTCACAAATAAAATATGGAAAGTCTCTGAGGCAGGAACACACCAGGTCATTCTCTAATTTCCATGAATTCACTCACACATACATGTGTGTACCTACATATACACATGAATACACACACATTGGGAAACATGATTTGGCATCACTTGGTGTGCTGGATAGTTTTATGTCAACTTGATACAAGCGAAAGTCATCTGAGAGAAGGAAGCCTCAATTAAGACGATGCTGCCATAAGACCAGGATGTAGGCAAGCCTGTAGGGTATTTTATTAGTAGTCATTGATGTGATATCTTGTTTGTACTCTAACAAAGAAAGCTTGCCTACAAATAAAATATGGAAAGTCTCTGAGGCAGGAACACACCAAGGTCATTCTCTGATTTCCATGAATTCACTCACACATACATGTGTGTACCTACATATACACATGAACACACACACACACACACACACACACACACCTATATTTTTGGGGAAGCCACAATGCTAGGACCAATCTTAACAATATATAGAATATGGGGCATTTGGGAAACATGATTTGGCATCACTTGGTGTGCTGGATAGTTTTATGTCAACTTGATACAAGCGAAAGTCATCTGAGAGAAGGAAGCCTCAATTAAGACGATGCTGCCATAAGACCAGGATGTAGGCAAGCCTGTAGGGTATTTTATTAGTAGTCATTGATGTGATATCTTGTTTGTACTCTAACAAAGAAAGCTTGCCTGAAGATCAGAGGGCAGAGCTAGCCACTAGTTAACCATAGAGATTTGGAGGTCTATACAGACAGGCAGGAAGTGTTATGGCTGGGCTGAGAGAGGAATATAAGGCAGGAGAAGACAGGAGCTCTACCTCTTTTTTTGGCTGAGAAGTTGGTGAGGTAAGAGGTGGCAGTGGCTTGCTCCTTTGTCTCATGATCTTTCAGCATTTATCATGATATCTGGCTCTGGGTTTTTATTATTAAGACCAATTAAGACTCGAGCTACAGGAGAGGGCCCAGCGCAATTGTGGATGGTGCCATCTCTGGGCTGGGTTCTACAAAAAAGTAGATAGAACAAGACATGAGGGGCAAGCCAGTAAGCAGTACTCCTCTATGGTCTCTGCATCAGCTCCTGCCTGCAGGTTCCTGCCCTGTTTGAGTTTCTATCCTGACTTCCTTTGATGATGAACAGTCATATGGAGGTGTAAGCCAAATAAACTCTTTCCTTCTCAATTTACTTTTCAGTAATGGTGTTTTATTGCAGCAATAGAAACCTTAGCTAAGACACAGGGCAACAGTGAGCCAGCGTTTGGATATTTCATTAAGTGTGAAATGTAAATTTGGAGCTTTGTCTCTTTTAATTCATCACTTCTAAAACAGATTTTTTAAAAAGTGAGTATTTCTCTGATGCTCACAGCTTCAGTTCCTCAGTTCCTCATTCAATCTGCCAATGAAATGAGGAGAAAGGCAGCCCTGGTTCTCCACAGGATTAAAGGATAAGGGCAAAGAGTGATGCTGAAATGATGAGGCAAAGACAGTGGTCTCATTATGAACTCTTTGGAGAGCCACTCAGGAAGAGGTGTTTCAGTGGGGAATGGCAAATAGCACCCGTCCTTTCCTTCCACCTACTCTAGGGTCCATCATACAACCTCAGCCTAAAGAATACATAGGAAAACTAAATTGGCAGCATAGTTACACTCTATCCCTCTTGTCTCTGAGCCCTCTCCCAGGCAACCCACCGTGCTGAGAACAACCCCTGCCTACTCTCCTGGAGATGTCCCAGGTGGTGGCCAGCTGCCAGAGCCTAGCTTGATACAAGTACTAGGCTTTCACCCCTCTCCTTTCCAAATCTCAACTTCCTCACTTGACAATAAGTGGAGGAGAGGTGATTTAGGTTCTCTAATCTCTCCAAACTTTGTGGGTCTTTTGGACCTTATACTAACGCTAAAAACTATCTCAAGGTTGACCAGTGTGGCTGGGAATACTTGGAAGAAAGTAATCAAGATTAGAGGTAGGAGTGGGGATCCAGGAATTCTTAACTGCCCTTGAAGCCTGAAGTTTGCACCAGTCAGTGAGTTCCATGGTTACCAGGAGAACTCTAAGAACTGAACTCTTGAACATGCAGGATGGATATATCTTCCCTTGCTCTCCTCGGTAGATGAAGGTCAGTTTCAGGTCTCCTGACTGCTGCTATTGTCAGAGGCCACCAGGACCCCAGTCCTAGGAAGAGCTCTTCTTCACTGGCAGATGCTCTACTGGAGCTTTGCAGAATGTTTGCCAAGTTTTTTCTCAGCCATTCCTCCCTCCTACTTAGCCTCCTCAGGAAGGGGGAAACTAAATTTGAGGCAGAGCCAAACCAGACTCTCATGGATTAAAGAAGATCATAGAAGCAAGCCCATCTGACTTCCTTACTCTACAGACAAGACATGCAGGCCTACAGAGAGCAAAGACTTATCTGGGGTCAGAAGCAGAGGTGGAGCTGGCTTTAAATCCTGCCTTTATAGTTGCTTGTCCTCATGAGCTTGGGGATATGAGGTTGTCAGTCTTCCAGCTTCACTACAGTAACCTCTGTGCACAGTTGACAGAGTGCTTACAATAAGTGCCTAATCAATTGCTCTACTGGAGCTTTGCAGAATGTTTGCCAAGTTTTTTCTCAGCCCTCCCTCCCTCCTACATAGCCTCCTCAGGAAGGGGGAACTAAATTTGAGGCAGAGCCAAACCAGACTCTCATGGATTAAAGAAGATCATAGAAGCAAGCCCATCTGACTTCCTTACTCTACAGACAAGACATGCAGGCCTACAGAGAGCAAAGACTTATCTGGGGTCAGAAGCAGAGGTGGAGCTGGCTTTAAATCCTGCCTTTATAGTTGCTTGTCCTCATGAGCTTGGGGATATGAGGTTGTCAGTCTTCCAGCTTCACTACAGTAACCTCTGTGCACAGTTGACAGAGTGCTTACAATAAGTGCCTAATCAATGCCCACTGCCATCATTTTTATTGGTGGGCATTGTTATTGCTGACATGGTTACCTGACATGGTTACATGCCCCTAACGCATGCCCACAGCACCCTCAGTAACACATTCTCATCCTTCCACAGGCTGGTGGAACTCTTCTCCACAGCACCCATTGGCTCCCACTGGGGTGTGCTGTCCAAGTGTTTGGCCTACAGCAAGGCTGCATCTGACCCCTTCGTATACTCCTTGCTTCGACACCAATACCGTAGGAGCTGCAAGGAGCTTCTGAACAGGATCTTCAACAGACGCTCCATCCGCTCCCGCTCTGTGGGCCTCACAGGTGACTCACACAGCCATAACATTCTGCCAGTGTCAGAATGAAGGACCGTTCTCCTGCTGGGGAGTTCAAAGTGAGGTGGACAGAGCAAAGGGCAGTGGTCTGGGACTCCTGGGCGGACATTAACTGCCACCATTGCCTGGTGATTGCAGTGATGTTGATATCTGAACAAGTTATAGGGTCTGCTTCTTGGCCCTTCCAGGGTAGATATGACTGCCCCATCACCAAAGGATGGCTGTGGGCCATGTCCTGGTCTTTCTTTCTGGGCGTGTGTTTTGAGCTTGAGCGCTTAGACTCACCAAAGGATGGTAAGTCACTGTCAAGGACACAGAGTGCTGGTGGCAGGTGTAGGGCATAGCACCCACTTATTTGCCAACCACTGGTCATGGGGCCCCATGCTCCAACGGACATTTCAGTGATGCTGAATGTGAAGGCTGGCTGTGGCCATCTGGTACCAGATCTAATATGGCATCTCTTTCCCCATTGGTAATGGTGGCTGCTCCAACCCAAATATTATCTAGCTGGTGCCAACTACATTATGCTCAGCTGACACCCTTGGGCTCTGCACTCAGTGGGAAAGTGTTTAACAACCAATTTGCTGCCTACCAGCTGTCTGAGGAATGATAAATTGGATTCAACTTTTGTCCCTCTTCCATCAAACAAACTAATGTTTGCGTGTACTGACAATCTTAGCATGAAAGTGGTCTCAATAGACAGGTAATAGATAATGTTAGATTCTCTGAAATCTGAGAAGGAAGTCACCTTCTTCTGATTTGCATGCCATAGCTATGAGAGTCCAATAAAGCAGGAAGAAGGTATCTGGTCTATCCTACCTCTCCAGCTGGGATCTGAGTTGGTAGGAAGTACTCCCTCTTGTCTTAGACATCTTACCCATCACAGTCTGTGAGGTGGATGCATGGGAGCTAACCTGAACAGGGGATGCAGTCTTAGTTTTCAGATGCTGGGTACCATTATCCTGGTGGCTCATTCTGCAATTCTGTCCTGAGAAAGCAGGGGCTATCCAAGGTCACCACAAAAGTGCTTTGTGGCACTGATGAGAGAGTGCAATTAGTATAGGATGTTGTTCCTATAATATACATGCCAGTCCATTGGGAGCCATTGTCTTAGTCTCATTAAAACAAAGAGAAGGACTGGAGAAATAGCTGAGCCAGTAAAGTGCTTACTGTGCAAGCATGAGACCCTGAGTCTGACCCCAAGAATTCATACTAAAAGCAAACTGGACATGGTGGCATGCACCTGTAGTCCTAGCACTGGATACCTTCTTCCCATCTCATCATTTCAGAGTGGCTTGAGAATGCTCATTGCAGTTATTTCTCAGCCCTGTAAGTGACTCTTCTGGGTGGAAAGGGTGGAGAGCTATCAAACCAGAAGGATCTTTCTTTCCCCATAATTCCGCACATCCTAGTCTCGGAAGTACAAAGGGAATTAGCCACCAAGGACCAACCAGAAGAATGTTAGTTTGAAAAGATGGCCTATCATTAACTCTTGGCAATTCATTTAGAATACAACTCCACCAGGCCTAATGTTATCAGGCTTTAGAGTTTCCATGGAGACAGTTGAAACATCTAAGGAAGCTTTAATACCTTCCCATTGCTGGGAGAGGTATGTTCCTACCTGCCTTGCTAGAGAAAAAGAACCTGGGGTCCAGAGGGAACTCCTTGGGACACTTGTTTGGACTTTGTACCCATCTCTCCCCACCCAATCTTCTGGGGGAGTTGGTGAGGTACACCCCTCCTTCCTATGATAAGGGATGTCACATAGGTAGCTTGAAATTAGCCGCAGTGGAAGTTTGTATACACTCAGAATAGCTAAGTTTTATAAATCAGGTCTTTCCCCAAGAGCTGGCTGTCACCCATCTACCAGCACCACACTGCCATATATTTGTTTCTGGAACAAAAATGTCCTGGTTCAAAGTCCATTTGGTCCCATCTAGCCCAAATCACAACAATCACTTCTATAGCTTTCCTAGTGAAGAACAGCTGTATCCACTCTCTGTGGTCCTAGCACTCAAAGAGCTAGGGGAGTTCAAATAAAATCAGGGGCCAAGACAGCCTGCATAAAATGATGTCCCTTTTCACACAAATACTGGTAAAGTTGGACAAAATACGGGAGTGGTGACCCAGAGGGTGAAGTCAGTAGACAAAAAAGTCCAGTAGGGACATCCACTTCTCCCATGTTGGTTTAAATGGAGAGTAACCCTACAAACCCTTTCTCTGCTTGCTCTGTGTAGGCAACATATTGCACCCCGAGTTGCAACAAGATCGCTTTGTCCCTTCCCTAGCTATGAAACAGGAACTGCCACCCACGACACCACTTATCCGGAAGGATGTATGCTGTAATTTTCACTATGCCTCTAAAACTGCTTACCATCTAATAAAACCCGTTACACTGGCATCGTGCCACTGACAAGAACCCCAGATAAGCCCATTGATGGAGAGTTTTCATTATCACTTAGACACAGGCTTGAAAACCCAAGGGAAGTGAGAAGGAAGTGCCTCCATTGGCAATGGGCACCAGCCAATGCTGCGGCAATCACTTTCCCATAAATGTTTAGAGTCAGCCTGCGAATCTCTGAAACACACTACCTGTGGTCACAGTTCCCACTTGAGCAATCTACCTCATTCTGGCCATTTAATTAATCAAATGACATGTGGTTTTCTCAGGTATGAGGTATATAAAACAAGACTCCCATTCCCCAAGGTAGAAGGTCTCAATGACTTGCTTGACTCCCACTGGTTTAGAGTCCCACTTGCATTTGAGAGCCACTGGGCAGGTGAAACCATATGTGAAGCTTGCGAGTAGTGCCTACAGAGGAGAGGCCTCTTCCAGAGCCCAACTCCACTCAGAGGGCTCAGTTTCCATCACACACACACACTGCTTGCCTTTTATAATCTCTGCCCCACTCTGCATTTTTCTTGCATCCCTTCTAGGAGGTCAGGATCTCAGAAACCTGGGGCCGCTGGGGATACAGGATGCTTGCTGAGTGATACAACATTGGTGTCTGAGTGTCTTGCTAGCTCACCTCCCATAGATACTTGTCTGCATTCAGTTAGGAGACAAGTATGGCTTGGTGACCTCCTTGGCTGTTTCCCACTGTGTTTTCTTCCAGAGCTCAGCTCGGGCCTCCAACGTTCTGAGCGATAAACCTCTTGCCTTGTGTTTGTGAGATATGCTTTTCTTTTACATGTGTCTCTCTCCTTGAGAGAAGGTAGGCAGATTAGGGCCATGCCTGTGTACTTGTTGTCATTCCTTCCGAGGCTTGGATGTAGGTAGTTATCTATGCTTGACTGTGACATGGCTATTGGATGAACCCAAAGGCTGTGTGTTGTCAGGATTTGACCTTAACACAGGGTTAAGTAAGTTGCCTCATTTTCCAGAGGTTATTCTATAAGGTGCCAGGAACCTCGTGGATCAGCTCATTCCCTCCAGCCCATGAACACCACGGGGAAAGATCTGAAGGTGGTGAGGTTCCCATTGCCTTCCCAAGAATCTAGGGATCTCTTCCCCATCCTCAAGTGTCACCAGGGGAGGTGCTTCAATATGAACTCCTGAGTTCTCTCTTCGGAGGTGAATTCAGGCAAGCTGGCAGGACTTGGGATTTTACCATCTACATATTGGTGTCCAGGCAGCTGACTCAAGTGATCTTCAACTCTGTCCCCAGCAGTTACAGCTCATCTGCAGGGATACTTCAGGATTAGTGTTTTAGGTCTTGAGGATCCCTTGTCAACCTGCATTTTCAAGAAACATTGGGCCATCATCTCCATGAGCATCAGTAGCATGAAGCATTCTCCCAAGACCCAAGTGAGGCATCTCATTCCCTGAAGTGTTAGCACATGGAGATGATGTTCAGAGCCTTTTGTAGAAAGGGGGGGAGCTCCACATCTCCACATCTCCTGTTTGCTTCTACAGCTTCAGCAGAGGAGTCTGTGTGTGAGGAGCCTGCCTTGTAAGCCTCCAACCTTCCCTGTCAGCTCTGCCTTCCACCCAAGCTTTTCCTGTCTTTCTTCAGAAGCTCTCATGGGGTAAGAGGTCTCAGCTCCTTCCCCAGGCACAGAGTGAAGTCCAGGAGCTGGACACTTTTGTCAGTCAGCTTCCCAGGCAGGAGGGGCCATGGGTCCTGAGGAATGGAAATGATTCTCAATATAGAGAGGACACAGCTGGAGCTTAAAGTGGTTTCTATCAGCCTGACCCAGACATCAGAAGTCAGGGACTCTGGGTGCCAGAGGTTCAGAGAATGGGCTCCTGCAATGACATGCTGAGTGGCTGGTAGCAAAACTGCATCTGACCAAGAGATGTGGGAGTTCTCCTATAGTTCTGTAAACCAGAGCCCCCTGTGCCATGCCCCCGGGGGAGCTAAGTGTCCACGTGGGCCTAGGTTAAGGGTGTTGCTCAGCACTGTTAATTGGAGGCCCTAGAAGACTTTGCAAAGGCAGTGGGCTCTGAACTGCTGCTACAGCATGGGGTGTGATATAGGAGATATGGACTAGCCTGGTAAATATTCAGTAGCTTGGGGCTTAGTGTGCATTCAGAAGTGCTGTCCAGGGGCTGCTCAGAAGCAGGCAGTGCCTCCTGAGACACAGTGAATGCCATCTGTAGCCAACAGGGTAGATGTTCTTGAAGTAAGAACAAAATTAGGAAAAGATGATAGGGAGAAAAAAAAATCCATAGCTATTTCGCTATCCAAAAAGAGAAGAACAAAAAAGCAGAAGGAAAGAAAGGAAGAAAGGGAACGGAAGAATGGAGAGGGGAAAGGCAAGAGGAATTGCATTCAATTTGAAGGGATTGACACTTATTCATTTTAATTAAATATTTTATCTACTCACCACCGAGTCCTTCCCTCCAGTTCCTCCCACCCCTCTCCTTACACAAGCCTGACCACCCAAATTTATGAACTCTTTTCTTTTTAACCATTGAGTTCAAATGGTGTTGCTGGTATGTGTGGGGGTATAGGGCTGCCTACCAGAGCACGGGCAGTCTATTCAGGGCCAGACATTAGAAGAAAGCGGATACTCCCCCAGCATCC